CCTTGGCTTCCCAAACAGCTGGGACTACACGTGTGAGCCACCCTGCCCAGCCTGGCAATTGTCTTGCTGATAATCACTTGAGTACTTTCGTGTTGGTTACCCATGTCATCAATCCTGGGAAATTTTTCTTTTATTATTTCTTTGATTATTTTTTTCTTCTAATTTCCCCGCTCTCTTTCTATGTAAATATTAGTATACAGAAGGATGTTGTTAAACCTCTTGGATTAATTCTCTGATATTGTTTTGATTTGTTTTCTCTTTTCTAATTTTTCACCTCTCTATGCTATTTTCTGGGAAAGTTTCTCAACTTTATCTTCCAATTTTTCTACCGGATTTCTTTAATTTTTCTATCACGTTAATTTCAAAGAGCTCTTCTTTATTTTCCAGTGGCTCCCCTTCTACATACATATCTTCTTGTTTTTATTTCACGAATACATAGCTTCTCTTATTTCTTTGAATAGTACAGGTCATTTTTAAAAGGTTTTTTTTGCTCTCTTAATAGTCTGTTTTCCCTCTTGTTAGTCAGAGGCAGAAGCAGACCCAGAGTGCAGTGAGACTGGTTCCCAGCCAGGGCCTCTGTCCTGAGGCCTCACACTTTGAACATGCCCTGTGCTGCTTCTTCTTCCTTCCCTTCATCAGCATCCATCTTACTCCCCTCTCCTTAACAACCTGCCTTATGGGGGCCAATTCTCAAAGTTCATGGAATTTGGAGAACTGGCTGGTGTCACACTGGCAACTTGAAATCGGTGGTGATAGAAGCATTTAAACCATGACAATGTGCAAATGCTACATATCAGGTCATTGTTGTTTTGTGGTTTGGGGATTACCTGGGTAGGGGTTGTTTGGAGAACTGGATATTAAACATTTACCAATATACCACTGAGTATCAGTGTCTCTCATCCCGTGTTCTTGTCCTAGGGAGTGGACTGTGCAGCAGGACGATTGCTTGGAGTTGTGTAACAGGGCGATCCTGGTGGGGATTTATGCTCTGAGCCTGGGTTTGCTGTTGAATACCTATGCAGCTCGCTGCATTAAAGAATTGATTTTAGTTTATGTGCTTGGAATTATGACTTATTATGCAAACAAGTGCAACCTATCTTCAGATTATTAGCTCTGGGACACTATTGTTTTTTCAATAGTCACCATATCCACATGGCAGGGCACCATAGAACCAGCCACAAGCACCAGGGGACCCTGACTGTCTTCAGGAAGCAAATGCATCTCTTCCAGAAAAGGTAAACTGAGGACTCCCTTGTCCCCTCTATGTGGTAGGCAGCCTGGCACCTGCCCCACCTCATTGGTCTTGTAACCTCCTATTTCTATCCCTCTTAGCTGTCCCTGTAAAGACAGCTGGAAAGGCTGGGCTGCCCTTGGTTCACCCAAGCCTCAGTGTGATCCCACACCCAAGATAAACAGAGGAGTTTGGGGAGTCCAGAGAAAAAGGGGAGTCTGTGCTCAAAGCCCCTGAGCAAAGGGGCTGCCCGGGGTCTTGCCTGTCTCTGCCCCTCCATGCCCTGTGCTCCCATCTCCTGCAGCTGCCCTCTTTCCAGTGCCTTCGGTGCCAGCTTCTTCTGCCCAACCAGACTGAAGATGGGCTGCCTGGTGCACACTTCCTGAGGCAGCAGGAGGGAGAGGGAAGAATCAGGGAGGCAAGTTGTGAGGTGCCTGCTCTGGGCCTCTTACTGGCCCCTCGTGGACTCTGAGTGACTGGTCCAAAGGAAGGTGTCTCACATATACCCTGGAGGCGGGGGCACCGGGCTTGGGCAGCATTAAGTTCTAGGTATACTAGGTGAGCGCTTACTCCTCTGCCCTGTTCTGACTTCTGTGCCTTAGTTTTCCCATATGTGAAATGGAACTAATCACCCTCAAAACACCCCTGTAAGGTACTAATTACTGTCTGTGAAAGGCTTTGAGATTCTTGCATGGAAAATAACAGTACTAATAATGGATAATAACACTCTCCTTCTCCAGGGCCTTTCATCCATGGATCTCAAAGTCTTTCACAAACTTTAATTATTCTCACAACGCCCCAGTGCAGGAGGCTGATGGTCATTAGCTCTATTTTACTGGTGGGGAAACTGAGAAGCCAGGAGACTGGCTTGAGGCCACACAGTAAGTTGGAAATCTTAGGAAGGTTGGAACTCACAGCCCCCGGCCCTTGGGAAGGGCACAGACAATGGAAGCTTTCAACCAGCCCAGGGGGAAGGTGCCCGTCATTGGGGAGGAGCCTGGCGGCAGCAGCAGAACCTCCCAGCCTGCCAGGGGCCCTGGAGTGGCTGCCAAGGAAAGACTTGTGTTTTCCTGGCCTGGCAATTTGGGGAGAGAAGTAGCATTTATAGGGTTGTTCCTAAATGTCTTCAGGAAGCAGATGGGTCTCCTCCAAGAAAGACACACTAGGGACTCACTTGTCCACAGAGTCCTCGATGGGGTTGGCAGCCTGACATCCCCACCCGCAGGCCTCTGTTGCTAGTAGGACTAATGACCATCAGCCTCCAACATACACCAGATCCCGTAAGAGGCCCGTCTGTATCCTGTGGTCTCATCCTACTGTGAGAAAGGGCATATGTTTCCATGAGGAAACTGACTTGTTTTATTCTCACTCACTGTGGGCCAAGCAACTTGCTGCTCCCTTCACTATCCCTAATAGAGCCACAGGCCATCTAGGTACTATTAGCACTAGGCACTATTAACCATCATTTTAGAGATGGGGAAACTGAGGTACACAGAGGAACACTGACTTGCTCAAGAGTGTGACTGTGACAAGCCACTGTTCTTCACTGACCTTTCCCTACTCCCTCCCAAGCCCGAATGAGCAGAAGAGACTGGATGAGATCATGTCCAGGCCTTTGAAGTGCTCAGAGACAGCAGCTCTGTGGCCTCCCAGGGGAAGATGAAAAGCCTGGGGTCCTGGGCTCAAGGTCATCCCACAGAAGACCGGAAACAACAGGGTTCACCTGGGCTGACCGGGGATCACCTGGGGACATGTCCCACCTCTGAGCTTCTCTAGGGGAGGACCATGCTTCCTGGGACAGAGGAGTGAGCCCAGCCCTGTATGGGGCAGAGAGGTTCTGAGACCAGAGCTGTGTGTCGGGGTGGCTCCTCCCCTTCTCCCAGGCCCAGTGCTCCAAGGGGTGAACCTAGGAGACCTCTGAGGTCCCTTCCAGCTCTCACAGCCCCCGGTCCCTAACTTAGAGCCACACTCTCCAGAACACAGTTTTTCATAATTGCACCTGCATCAGCTTAAAGAATGTTAGAAAGCAGATTCGTCCCAGAGACAGTGGCAGGACCTTGAGGATCCAGCAGGCTGTCAGGAGCCCTGGCTCCGGCTCCCGGCCATCTCACAGACATACTGTGTGATCTGCACAAAGGCCTTCCTGTACCTTGCCTCAGTTTCCCTGTTGGTAAAAACAGCAATGGAGAATACCAATGGAGTGATCCTGAGGGGGCTTGTGAAACCCAAGACATGCAGGGGGTGGCAAGATGAGCTTTTGCTGGCCAGGGAGAGAGCATGCAGGGAACATAGCGCTTACAGAATGAGATGGGGGCAGTGCATGTAGCATTTTCTTTTGGGGAAAATGCTAAAAGCTCTATTACAGTTTTGCTCATAGCCTGCCCAGGCTTGATAGAAGTCATATATTTCCAGGCGCGGTAGCACGTGCCTGTAGTCCCAGCTACCCAGGAGGCTGAGGCTAGAGGATCACTTGAGTCCAGGAGTTCTGGGCTGTGGTGCCCTATGCTGATCAGGTGTCTGTACTAAGTTCGGCATCAATATGGTGACCTCCCAGGAGCGGGGGACCACCAGGTTGCCTAAGGAGGGGTGAACCGGCCCAGGCTGGAAACGGAGCAGGTCAAAACTCCCGTGCTGATCAGTAGTGGAATCGCGCCTGTGAATAGCCACTGCACTTCAGCCTGGGCAACATAGTAAGACCCTGTCTCTTAAAAAAAAAATAAAAGAAGTAATATCTCATGTCTGAGTAGCCTTTTACCTAAGTTAGCAACAGGCTTTCTCTCCTATGTTATCTCTTTCCATCCCCCTGGACACCTCAGGGGACAGGTATAGTACCTTCAATTTACAGACAAGGAAATTGAGGCTCAGAAAGATGCAGTGATCTGGTAGAGAACATGCAGACAGTAAGGGGCAAACCCAGGCCTCGAAGCCAGCAGGCCCTTTGAGACATGGTTTTCTAGAAAGTTCCACACCACGGAGTCATTCCTGGGGCCAGTACAAGGCAGGCCCATCCTAATGGTTGGGAGTGTGGTCGCCATGTGCCTGGGTTGAGGGTCCGGATCACAGACCGGCTTTCTGGGTCCTTTTCCTCCTCTCAGGGGCCCCAGGATGTGGGCAAGGTCCCTCAGAGTGGGGTCCTGGCCCCACATGGTGAGGGCAGGATAGGCAAGGTCCCTTGGGGTGGGAGGCCTGGCCCTCCTGATGGTGAGGGCAGGGTGCGGCCAGCAGTGGGTGGGAGGTGCCGGAGGTTCCTGCTCCCTGGCTGGGCAGGGCGGGGCAGGGCGGGGCAGGCACTGGGAACAGGGTGACCTGGACACCGTGACCTTCGATCATTGAACGAGGCACACAGTGGTGGTAGTGGAGAGAGGGAGACCCCTTGTGCCTGGGGGGGCCCTCATGGAGGTGGGCACCCTCCGAGCTTCCCACCCTGCTAGCTCCCACCTGGCACCACTAGGCAGCTTCCAGCAGGGATATTCCTTCTCCCTCCCAGCAGGCTCTCACCTGGAGCCTGCTCAGACCTGCCCTCTCCACAAAGCACGGTAGCAACTCCCTGGGGCAGAAAGTGTCTCTTCTGAAAGCAAGACAAGAGTTTAATTAAGCCTTAAACGCTCACAGTTGAGCCTGAAATTAGGGTGGTGAAGGGAGGGGGAGAAGGCAGGTGAGGACAGGGGGGCTTCAGCCCAGCCCTGCTCCAGCTGAGCAAAACAACCTGCAGGCAAACATTTGCAGAGCCCGAGGGCTTGGTTACAAAACACTTCTGACCTAGAAAGGGGAGAATGCCAGCTTCCCTTCCCCCCAAACTCAGGTCTGGGGATGGGTATTGGGGTTTGTGATGAATTTGGAAAGTGGAAAGAAACCAAGAGGTAAAGAGAGGCCACCTCTGAAGGTGGATGCCTGGATCTCTGGGGGAGGCATGGGTCTGCCCAGAAGGAAGCTGGGCTGGTGGGAACCCTCCCTACCCCAAGAGGGAGGGAAGGAGGGAAGACACTGAGGGCCACTGGGCTCTGGGTAAGCCAGTCAGACTGCACACAGGTGTGCCAGGGCTGGGATTCCTGCCCAGGACACCCAGCACTGCTCTACCAGGTGGGCAAAGCTCATTCCGCTCCCCTAGGAGGAAGGGAGCGGCTAGCCCTGATTGATGCAACCAGCTGGGCTCCCGTGCAACTGAGCTTGCTTGTACCCATGGCTGCAGGCAGCTGGACAACTGGCAGCGCTGAAGGGAGCACTGGCCTCAGCCCCTCTCTCTCCTGTCCCCCGGTCTCCTCAAACTGCTGCTGAGACATTCAAACCGCAGCCTCCTCTACCTGGTAATTGATCCTCTTTTGCCCTGAAACTTGGGTTTGGTCTTAATTTGCCAGGCACTAAAGGCAAGAAGAGACGGGCAGGAGGGCGTGTTATCGCTTGTCTCTGGGCACAGAGGCTGTTGCAACACAGCTCCTGAGTGCGTGTAAAAGTGCACGCGTGTAGCAGAGGAAGGGAACAGGCTGCACAGGGGGTGGGGGAAGGGTGTCCAGCTCTCCTCCCTTGTGTGTGCGTATGGCGGGGGGAGGTTCACCAGGCTGATTTCTGTCACAGAGGCAGGGGACCCCATGATACAAAACAGACCCAGCAAGGCTGGTGTAGCTGCAGCTGCTGCCTGAGCTGCCCAGCCTCCCTGTGCCGACGGACACCCATGGAAGCTGCTCTCATAGCCCAACTCCTCACTTCTCAGCCGGTCTCGATGGGCACCTGCCTGGCAGCCCACTGATCACTTGGTGGAGACGGTCTCACACCCTGGGGGCCAGAAGGTGGTTGTAGATTCTTTGACTTTAAGGGACTATCTTCTAAAGAGGCCAATGTGGGCACCTTGGCTGGTCGCTCTGGCAGAGCTGGGGAGGCAGCAGCTCATGTTCTGCATTGAAGCTGAGTCCATTTGCTTTCCCCCTTCCTGGTATAGATGCAAAATCCTAGCACAGTTTTCCTATCACTGAATCAAAGGTATTATTGGGGGTGACGACTGGTGGGCAGGGGGTCAGGAGAGGCCCGAGATCACTCAACGCAGTCTCCTACACCGCCCTCCTCCTCAGCACCGCTACCTCTCTTAGTTTCCTGTGGCTGCTATAACAGGTGACCACAAACTTGGTTTAAAACAACAGCTTCCTCTTTCACAGTTCTGGAGGCCAGAAGTCCAAAATCTAGGTGTCAGCAGGCAGCGCTCCCTCTGGAGGCCCTGGGGGGACCCATTCCTTGCCACTCCCAGCTTCTGGAGCTGTCGGCATTCTTTAGCTTGTGCCTGCATCTGTCTCTGCTTTGTCTTTGTGAGGCCTTCTCTGTGTGTGTGTCATCTCCCTCTGTGCTATTCTTAAAAGGATTCTTCCTGTTGAATATGGGGTCTGCTCAGATAATCCAAGAATCCAAAATGATCTCCTCATCCCAAGATCCTTCACTTCCTTACATCTTATTTTTCCAAATAAGCTCACATTCACAAGTTCCCAGGATTTGGAGAGAGACCGACTTTTTGGGAGAGCACCATTCCACGCGCTACACCATTCAGTGGTTGGTAGGCTGTGGCTTAGACCCCTCTAGTGACGGGAGGCTCACCACTGCATGAGTTGGCTCCATCTATGTCCAAACAGGTCGAATTATTTTAAAGTTCTTATACTTGGGTGGAGCTGAAATTCTAAATACATTTAGATGTATTTTAGGTACTCTAGCCTTCAGAGTACCTAAAATACATCTAAATAAATAAACCTTCCAATCCCACCACCTCTGCCCGATTACAAGGCAAAAACAAAATGAGAAAAAGAATGAATGGGCTTAGTTTTGGTGTCAGGGGAAATGCACAGATCCTGGTCTCCCTGGTAGCTCTGTCGCAGGACTTTGTGCCTGGTTCCCGGCTGTAACACCAGAGAGCTGCTGAATCACCGTTTCATGGGATGCTTTTGAGAAATGCATCCTGCAGATTTGCCATTTGCACTGGCATATTAAAGGCTCCGAGAAGTCCTTAGTAAAGAAAACCACCTGACCCAATGTTTCCCAAACTTGTTTGAAAATACTGTGCTGTTATCGACTACCATCTTCTTTTATCACCTTGCAAACCTTCCTCACTATTTGGGGAAATGCTTTCAGAAAAGATGCCTGAGGGTCTTTTCCAGCTTTCACAATCTCTTTTGGTCAAACCAAATAGTTCGTATGCTCAGAGTCCCAACCCTAGCACTGTTGTTAAGCATTTTGCTGGAGGTAACAAATAACCTGGGAAATTAGAGGCCCCTGCCCCAAGCCACAGACAGCCAGGGCGAGGCTGTGGGCGATAGCCTCTGCCTAGGGGCCCTGGGTCTCTCTGGCCCTTACCTGGCACTGCAGGAAGCTGAGGGCCCTGTGGGAGGAACTCAGGGAAGGAAGGAGTATTTCTGCTGCTCTGTCTCCTGGAGATCCAGACTCATCTCAACCTCAGACTCAGCACTGTTCAGCCACCCTCGTTAGGTAATGCTGTCTCTGAATCAGCTTTTCTGGAAGTTTTATTTGAAGGTCTCAGCTAAATTCTACCTTGGCTGGGGAAAAAAACAATCTCAAAGAAGTTGGAACTTATGAAGTGGGAGCAAGAAGAATACCTGGACATCCCAAAGAAAAGGTGCTTCTAGTGGGGGAAAAAGAAGGACCTGAATGATGTGTCCTAAGAGAAGGAGAGAGACAGCATCACTCACCAATGGAATTGGTGGGGTGGGAGATCTGAGAGATATGGAAACATTGACAGGAAAGCCGAACTAGGAGAATGGATTGTCCTGAAAAGGCTCCCACATTTCTCCCCCTGCCCAGCGTGAGATGATATATGGGCTATCACCCTCTCCAATCCTCTTCTGTATTTAAGATTCCTTAGAAGAGGACACCCAGCCTCAGATCAACCTTTCTGAAGTGTCTGTTACCCAACAGTTTCACCTGCAGGAGCAAGGTTCACGGTGCCCTGACATACAGCTCTTTACTGAGTGCCCTGTGCCAGACACCACGCTAGCTGCTGTCACATATATATTGTTTAATCCTTTTAACCTCTAAAATTTTACAGGTGAAGACACCGAGGCCCAGGGAGGTTGGGTGTCATGCCAAAAGTCAAGAAGCAAAGTGCAGAGTAGGGCCAGATCTGTCTGGCTTCTGACCCCTCACCACGGCTTTCGACATGATTTAGTAATGCAGCCTCTGCATCCTGAGTGTGTTCTCCTTGGGTCTGACCCGAATCTCTCCTCCCCTCACCTGAGTTGGATTTGATGGAACAACCATGTAAGTAGGTTGGATCTGCTCCCAACTGGCCTTAAGAGGCATCACCTGTCTTCCCGTGCAGGCAAGCAGCCTTCTAGCTACTGGGGTGGGGAATGTTTGCCTTCTGTTAATGAAAAGAAGGATGTGATAAATAATGCCCAACCCAGCGCAGTATTCAGGGTCCCTAACAATAAGGCTCTATGTTTGGTCTTGGCTGCGGGTTCTAATCATTGGCTAATGCCGCTGCTGGGAACCCCTGGGCATGTCAACAGGGTAGGGCCCCAGGCACACTTACAGGGGAGCGGACTGAGCCTTTCTACCCTGAGCTCCCAGAATTCCTCCTGGGAAGTGGAGTTCCTGCAGACCTGCTTCCAGGTGCCCCAGAGTGAGGGAGGTGCCTTGGGCTCGCAGGTGCATGAGGCAGTGGAAGTGGTGCCCTGTTCTGGGCATGGGAAATGGGAGTCTGTGCCCAGCTCTGCCTCTGCTGCCCTGGGTGATGTGAGGCAAGCCTGTTTCTCTCTCTGAACCACAGTTCCCACATTTGTATAAAGGTGGGGGTTGCACCGAATACACTCTCAGGTTCCTTCTAGTTCTGACATTACAGGATCCTGCAGACGCAGCTTCTCCCAGATTTGCTTTATTCCCAGTGCCACAGCACAGGGGCCCCCAGCTAGTAGGTGGGAGATCTCAGAGCTTCAGCAACCCAACCGTGAGCTGCTGGATATGCCTTCCTGCCTCAGCCTCCCCAGACCCTTCCTTTCTTCCCCACTTCCATATGTATGAAATTTCCCAGTTTGTGAGACATGTTCAGAAACATGAACCCACTGGAGCCTCACCACCACAACCCTGTGAGATGGGCAGAGAAAGGAATGTCACACTGTGAGCACCACCCGCGTGCCAGCCCTCCTGGGCTTTTCAGTGAATCTTCCCATAGCTAGAGAAATCCTTTTGGGAATAAGGCAGAGTATAACTAAATAGATGGTGGGTGGATATTTAGATAAATACATACATGTGTAATCCTCATCGTGGCCTGGAGATCTTGGTGTTATTACCATCACCACATTGCAAAGGAGGAAAGTGAGGCTCAGACAGGTTCAGTACCTCCCAGTGTCCCCTGGCTATCAGGCAGCAAAACCAAGATTCGAACCCAGGCCTCTGTGGTCTAAGCTCATGGCCCTTTCTGCTGCTTTGCACTGAGGACACGATCAGCATTCTTTGCTCCAAGTGAACTGGGTGTATAGAGATGAAGTGACTGTGTCAAGGTTACCACAGCTCCAACTGGCAGAGCCAGGAATCAAACCCCCATTTTTTGCCTACAAATGTTAAGGCTGTTTCTAGAAAGAGCATAGTTGCCTCAAGAGAAAAAACAGTGGAGTCCCTCCCACCTTCCCTCTCTTTCTTCATCCCCTGCTTGCTCTGTCTCTCTAGGAACATCCCCTCTCCTCTCACGTGTCCTGGGCAGGAAATCGCATGATGTGCTCCTTGGCGCAGATAACAGAGCCACCACTCCCCAGGCTGTGTGTGGGGTGTATGGGTAGTGTGGGCCCCAGGCCGCAGCGCATTTGCCCAGGGACCCATGGCAGCTGATGTATGGGGTGCAGGGTGGGTGTGCTGACACCCTGGGGGACACTTGTGGGGATTCTGGCAGCACCTGGTCCCACTCTGTGTGTGTTGTCCTTGGGGCATCTGGTGGGGTCTGTGCAGGTCTCCCCTGTCCCTCTTAGCATACCCCAGATGGTTGGAGTGGCGGGGCCTGCCCAGACAATGAAGGTGGACTCTTTCTCTAGAGTGTACTTGCCTTCCTGTCACCTGGTCCTGTGGCAGAGTCTCCCACATCTCTCCTGAACCATGGCAGAAGACTCAAGCCGCCAGCCTCCTCTCTGAGCGTTTCCTGTTGCCTTCCATTCTTTCCCTGCCACCAGGGAGATCAGCTTAAAACCAGACTTTTTGACTTCAGGCTGCAGCCCATTATGTGTGTCCCATGGGTCATGGGTAAAAAACATCTCACCCTGGAAAGTAGCAGTCAAATCTGTTTGGAAATCTCATGCTTAACGTATAGCCCAGATCATGCCGTCTCGCTTCTTTTCAAGAAATTATCAATGGAGGAGTCCTACTTACTTCAGATCTCTCTCCATGTGCGTTTGTGTGCGTGCGTGTGTGTGCGTGCGTGTGTGTGCGTGCATGTGTGTGTGTGTGTGTGTAGGGAGTGGCATTTTGGAGTGAGTTTATTGAAGTCTAAAACATACATAAGGTACACAAATCGTGTGCACAGCTCAATGAGTTTCACAGAGCCAGCAGGTCTGTGCACACATTACCCAGCCAAGAAATCGTACTCAGCCAGCACCAGAGGCCCTTGGACCCCTCTCATCTCTCTCTGCCTTACCCTGACCCTATAAGGCCAACCATGTCCTGACTTCTACCGTCAAAAATTAATTTGCCTCAAAAAAATGTATATAATGAAACAATATTATTTTGTGTCTGGCTTATTTTACTATTCTATTTGCTAACCAGCTATATACATGCATGTAGCATATACACATACCTATATACACATATACCCATACATGTATGTAACATATACATTTGTGTATTTATGAATATCACATGTGTGAAAAAATGTGTATAAAATGTGTCTCCCTTTTTGCTGAAATATTTAAAATAAAAAACCCAAATATTATGTCATTTTATCCTTTTTGTTTTTTTTTTGAGATGGAGTCTTGCTCTGTTGCCTGGCTGGAGTAGAGTGGAGCGATCTCAGCTCACTGCAATCACTGCAACCTCCACCTCCCATTCAAGCAATTCTCCTGCCTTAGTCTCCTGAGTAGCTGGGACTACAGGTGCCCACCACCACACTCAGCTGATATTTGTATTTTTAGTAGAGATGGGGTTTCACCATATTGGCCAGACTGGTCTCCTGACCTCATGATTCACCTGCCTCAGCCTCCTAAAGTGCTGGGATTACAGGTGTGAGCCCCCGCGCCTGGAAGTATGCCTAGTTTCTTTTCCATGGGGAATATCTTCAGATATTGGAAGATACTTCAGAACCATCCTTTCCCCATCTCGCCCCAGCCTCAGACTACGTTTTAGACCTTTCCTCTGGTCTCAGGTAATCCCATCCATTTACACTTGTGCCTGCATGCCCATATTTCCCTGAACCTGGGCCCTTCCTGTCTGCCCTGTAGCTTCCCTGCCTTCACTGACAACATCCTATCAGACTTTTGAGGCCAATTTCACTGCTACCACCTTCATGAGAACTTTTCTGATGTGTTCCATCCAATATTTTCTCACTCTGCATTAACCAGAGAACCCAGGTAGCTGCCTTGTGCTGTCAATTGCGTTCTGGCTTGTTTTAAAGTTATTTGAGAATCTTTGTCATTGCTCACCAGCTTCCAAGTTCCTTGAAGACTGACCCTTTCTTACCTGTATTTGTTTTTCTGGAAATGTTTTGAAAAGAGTAGGTGCTCGGGCTGGGCACAGTGGCTCACATCTGTAATCCCAGCATTTTGGGAGGCCGAGGTGGGTGGATCACAAGGTCAAGAGTATGAAACCAGCCTGGCCAACATGGTGAAACATCATCTCTACTAAGAATACAAAAATTAGCCGGGCGTGGTGGTGCGTGCCTATAATCACAGCTACTCGGGAGGCTGAGGCATGAGAATCGCCTGAACTTGGGAGGTGAAGGCTGCAGTGAGGCAAGATTGTGCCACTGCACTCCAACCTGGTGACAGAGTAAGACTCCGTCTCAGAGGTGGGGGGTGTTGGGGGGAAGAGTAGGTGCTTACAGTATGTGCTCTGTGTTTACTGGTACATTAGGACCTTTTTGGTTGTAAGTGACAGATAACCAACTTGAATTGGCTTCAACAGGGAAGGGACAATTTCCGTATAACCGGAAGTCCAGGGAGACAGCCACTGGAGGTACAGTGGGGTTTAGGTCACAAACAATGTCACGAGGAACTTGCTGTTCTCCGCTGCTCAGCTTTGCAACTCTCTAGGTTGGCTTTCTTCCTGGGAGCCCATCTTCAAGGAGTAGTAAAGAATGTAGTGTCAGGCTGGGTGCAGTGGCTCATGCCTATAATCCCAGTTTTTGGGAGGCTGAGGCGGGTGGATCACAAGGTCAAGAGATCGAGACCATCCTGGTCAACAAGGTGAAACCCCGTCTCTACTAAAAATACAAAATTAGCTGGGCATGGTGGCGCGTGCCTGTAGTTCCAGCTACTCGGAATTGCTTGAACCTAGAAGGCGGAAGTTGCGGTGAGCTGAGATTGTGCCATTGCACTCCAGCCTGGGTAACAACAGCGAAACTCCATCTCAAAAAAAAAAAAAAAAAAAAGAGTGTAGTGTCTCAGTTGAAAAAAAGAGCACATCTCCAAGAGCTGGAGCCATAGTCTTAAATGTGACTCTCGGAAGCCAGTCTGGGTCATTGCTACAATCCTGAACCTACAGCTAACTGTAGCCAGGGAAGTGAGATGTCCTGCTTGATCAGGACTGGATCGTGTGTCCAAGGGTTCACCCCGAGAGCTCGAGGATCACTTATGGCACATGAAATGGGGAAGTGGAGGTTCTCCAAATGAAAATCGGATGCTCTCACCAGAAGAGTTCACTAACACCACCTGTACCAAGACTCTGGGGCCAGAATGCCTGCAATGAAATCCCAGCCTCTGTTGCTTTTCAGCTCTGGAAACTAGGGCAAGTTGACCTCTTCTGACTTCAGTTTTCCTCATCGTTGAATGGGGATAATAATTGCAAATACCTCATAGGGGTGTTGCAAATATTAACCGAGTTAATGCAGTAGGTATGACCCAGTTAAAATACTGTCTGTTACCAGGTAAGCCCAATAAAATGTTTTTATAGGTGTCCCCATAGTTACTGCTTCATGCTCCCAATATTTTGTGTGTTACTCTTTATTCTTCTCAGCTAAATTGGAAGTTGCCTAAGGGCAGGGCCCATCTAGGCTTCCAGCTTCTCTTATGCCCCTGAGGACAGGCTGATAGTGGCTGTGAGACCCTGGCAGCATCCTGGGCCCCCCACCACATCAGGAGTAGAAAAGCCTGCCTGAGCCTCCTTGTCTGGACCTGGAGCAAGCAGGGCTCCCATTAGCCCCTTCCTCCTTGCTTTTCCAGGTGTTCTCAGAACAGGAAGGTGGCAGAATCCTGTTTCAAAGTGGGCCGTGAAGATGCCTGGCAGGAGACTCATCCAGATGCAAGGGCAGTGGAGGAAAGCTTTGCCTCCTTTAGGACTTCTGTGTCTCCCTTGCCTTACAGTGTACCTTATATTCAATCCAGCATCTTGGTGGCAGATGAGGAAGCCGAGGTCTGGAGAGGTCAAGGGGCTTGGCCCTGGTCACACAGCCAGGCATAGCAGGGCTGACCCTGGAGCTCCATTTCCCAGCTGGAAGCCAAACCCCATGCTGCCCGGCCAACACCCCCCTCCCCACCCCGTGCAAATCCTAGAACAAGAGAAGCAGCGGGGGAAGCTGTCCTGTTTCTCTTCTCCCAACCTGACAAACGTGTCTACCAGGGGTGCCTTCTGTTCTGACTCATAAAGATATTTCTGAATAATAGCACTGGTCACTTTATCTCTGGAATGTATCCGGCTTTAAAAGAAACAAAAAGCCAAAAGGCTGGTGGCAGGGAATTACCCTCTTCCTGCCCCCCTAGGGCACTGATTCCACTCGTCTCCCAGGGCATGTGGGGGTGGCCAGAAAGGCCTCATTTGCATACACTTTCTCAAAAGTTTTGCAACAAACTTCAATATAACTCTAAAGGTGGTCTAAGGAAACAAAAAGATTTCCTTGTTGTTGTTCGCTTGTTTTTGTTACATTGAGGGTAACATACATAAAGTAAAATGAATAAAATGTTGTAACCTGAAGGGCAGAGTCTGATGGATGAACTTTTACATACACAAGACATGTGATACCCCGCCCAGATGGAGACTGTTCAGTTTTTTGGGTTTTTTTTTTTGAGACGAAGTTTCGCTCTGTTGCCTGGTTGGAGCTGGAGTGCAGTGACATGATCTCAGCTCACTGCAACCTCTGCCTCCTGGGTTCAAGCGATTCTCCTACCTCAGCCTCCTGGGTGGCTGGGACTACAGATGTTCACACGCCCAGATAATTTTTGTATTTTTAATAGAGATGGGGTTTCACCATGTTGGCCAGGATGGTCTTGATCTCTTGACCTCTTGATCCACCTGCTTCCGCCTCCCAAAGGGCTGCGATTATAGGCACGAGCCACTGGGCCCCACCTGAGACTGTTCAGCTTTAAAACTATGATTGATTGCCTCCGGAGTGACGCTTCTTGAATCAGGTTGGGTGAATGCTTATGGGTCACATCTCAGAAGACTTTAGCTGGGAGAGTTGCTCTTAGAATTTCAAGGAAGTTGTGTAAGGCCACAGGAGAGAAAGTCGTATCTGCTTCTTCCCCAGGTGTGGATTGCTTTTCACCAGTGGTGAGAGCCTTTTCTCTGCGCCACACCTGATACAATACATGCCTCAGTGGCTCGTGTGTCAGTGTTAGTGGCTTTGTGTATCAGTAAAGAGGGGAGATGTGGCTTGAAAAAGATGTAGGTGAGGTGTAAGACTCACTGATTTACCGTATTTCCTCTCATTCTGAAACTTCATCCCTTGTTAGACGATTCATGGGCTTCATGGGATCTATACTGGTTACTCCCCATTTGTTGAGTGCCCCACTAGATCCACTCTCTACCCTTCTTTGCCCTTCTCTGTGCCATGGGAGACCAACCTAAGTGGATTGCATTGATCAGCAGCCCCTGGCCTTTGGCCAGAGAAGGAGACAGGTGGTAGAGATGGTCTGGCATGTCTTGCCCCCATCCCTCCCTCCCTTTCAGCGCCATATCTCCGGCAGTGCCTCCTTCCCTGTACCTGCTGGATGGCCCATCTTTCATGGTCCAAGGGCTGGCTCACTAGCCTCCAATAACATGACTGCCTCCTCTTTTCAACTCTAGAGATGGTCATAATTTTCTGCTGTTACTAGGCTCTACCTGCCTCAAGTTCCCTCTTAACTCTGCCCATATCTCTAGAAGGAGTTTCTCCATTAAAGCCTCATCCTTTGAACCATCTGGGTTAAAGTATATTTCCTGATGGACCCAACTGATTCACAGGTCTTTGGACAAATGGGAACACTTCCATATTCAATAGTTATTGATTATAAGATACATCTGGCTTTCAGAAATGTTACAACATCATCGAAAAGTATGGTTTACTATAAAGATATGATGGCAGGTTCATTCAGGCATGATGGATATAAAGGGCAGTGTACCATTAAGAGATGTAGGCCGGGTGTGGTGGCTCATGCCTGTAATCCTAGCACTTTGGGGGCCAAGGTGGGCTGATCACTTGAGGCCAGGAGTTTGAGACCAGTCTGGCCAAAATAGTGAAACCCCATCTCTATAAAAAACACAAAAATTAGCCAGGTGCAGTGGCGCTTGCCACTACTGGGGAGAGTAGGAGAAACACTTGAACTTGGGAGGCATAGGTTGCAGTGGGTCAAGATCAGACACTGCACTCTAGCCTGGGGGACAGAGTGAGACTCTGTCTCAAAAATTAAAAAATAAATAAATAAATAAATAAAAAAGAAAAAGAAAAAGAGATGGAATTTGCTCCTAAACTTACAAGGCTGGAAGTATGGCAAACAGTGGAGCACTGGGTTTAAAGTCAGGTGAGATGGCTTTGAACTCAGGCTCTGACACCTACAGGCTGGAAATTTTTGAGTAGGCTATTCTGCCACTCTGCACGTTGGCCTCCTCTCTGGCAATCCAGAGTCACTCTGCTGTCCACATCCCTTTCAGAGATGTCGTGTTAGTACAAGTGAGGTCATGTGTATGAAAGGGCTTCATCAACGATCCCGTGCTGACACGTGTGGGCCAGTGCATCTCAGCGGGGGCGGCCGTTCTGGGATTCCTCTTCTCTCAGGCACCAAACACTGGCCAGGATGGACAAACAAGGAGACCGGCAAAAGTGGGGCAAGGAGGTCTCAGGGACCCAGAGAGGCAATGAGAAGACAGCCCACCTACCCTTTTCTTCCTACTCCTGCTTCCCTCTTCCCCTTCCCTTCCCTCACTTGACATGGTCTCTTCCCTAAGCTGAGGGATGGTACTGAGGCTGTTTATGTATTCAGTGGGGAATTAAGGAGCACCTCTAAGTGTAGCATAAAGCCATGCACTGGACGAAGACCATGCCTTCCAAGACCAGTAAGAGAGAAACAAAGACATTCCAACAGGAGGCAGGACATGCCATGTCCTGGGTAAGAGGAAGAGCCTGGTGTCAGAGAATCTCAGCTGCACTCCTAACCCATCACTAACTCACTAACCAGTTTCCCGGGACAAGTTATTCAATCTCACTGTCTTCATCTGCAACCAGGGAATAATACCCGCCTCCAGCGTCTGGTGTGAGGATTCCATGGAACAAGCCCTGTGATCAGCATGGTGCCTGGCTCTGATTTTAGCACTAAATAAAGGGTCACCTCTATTCTTAGCATTCCAGGGAGCCAGAGGACCTTTCTAACTGGATGACTCTGGAATTCCCAAGGAGAGGGCACTGAACTAGGCGTGGAGGCTGAATTCTCGGTTTGGCAGGCGCAGTTCGCCGAGGCACTCGCTGAACCCGGGGAGGTCAGTTCCACCGCAGGACCAAGGCACTACGCTGTGTCCCCGGCGCTGGGAGGACTGAAAGGGGGCGAGCGGGCTTCGGAACGCAGGCCTCCCGGCGGGCAGAGGGAGCCAGCACGAGTTCTGGAGCAGGAGAGGGCCAGGATCAAAGCGCTCTGAGGCAGGCCAGGGCGCACCAAAGGGAGGCTAGTTGCATCAGCACAGATTCCGTGATGCTCTGCAGACGTCTCCAGGCTGCTGGGCTTTACGGGAACCCACAAGAAAGGAACGGACCGGAGAGCTGGCAGGGCGGGGGCGGGAGGGGGCGCGAGGGTGCGCTCGCCCGCGCGCTCCCGGCGGCGCCTGGCCCCGGTTGGGCGCGCCCGGGACTAAGGAGACCGCGGAGGAAGCTCCCGCTCCCCTTCCCCCTCCTCTTTTCCCCCCGCGTTACTGGAAGGACTGTGTGGGAGAGACCCAGAAGCACCCGGATTTTCGAGCGCAAGGTGGGGGAGGGCAGGGCAGCCTTTCCTGCTCACAGGAAAACCAAAAGTGCGTCTGTTCGCGCCGCTCAGACACGCGGTCGCTACTGGGAGGGCCCAGAGCGCTTTGGCCGCGCCTCCCTTTGCAGCCCCCAAGACTTGGCTAAGGCAGCCTGAGGCCCGCGTGGCCCGGGGAGGGGCTGAGAAGCGAGTGGGAAAGTGTCACGATTTCTTCTGCGCCCCTCCCGTCCTCACCCCACCCCCAGTTTTCTGGGTTTCGCTGCTGCCGCTGGGGAAGGGCTGATTCGTTTTGCGTCAAAGGACTGCATTTACTCAGTCCTGCTGGGAGAGGCGCGTAAACACCCAGGCAGGCCAGGACTCAAGGATGGGCGTGGGGGAGGTGGGGTGGAAGCAAATCACCCACGGCTGGCTTGCGCGTTCGCCTGCCCCATAGCCCTCGCCTGGGCCCGCGGAGCTGGGGACTCTGCCCAGCGGGCAGCAGCGGAGGTGCGAGGAGTCTGGTTGGCCTAGCTTCGTCGCGCACGCGCGCGTGTCCTTGGGGATAGTGTTCAGGACAGAATGTGTTTTATAGCTATAAACAATGACCCCGAGTATTGTTTGGGATTACCGTATCTTGGGGCCCTTGAGGCGGCCAGATGCCGCCAGCAGTCCCGGAAATGCCAGCGCTTTATATAGAGCCCCAGGAAAGCTTCGCGTTCCCGGCTCTATTTTTCTTTTCTATCAACACCCCCACTTTACAGATAAAGAAACTGAGGACTGAAATTGTGTGACGGTGCACATCGAGTTGTCCGCAATGGACTCTCAACAACTCTTAACGTTGGGCCCTCATAAGGACCCTGTGGGGTACAGATGCCTGGCGCTACTTAAGAATTGGGTAAACTGAGGCTTACACAGACCCTGGGCCAGAACCTAAGTTCCCTGACTTTTGCTACAGTACTACTTCTCCATGCGCACAATAATCTCAGCAGAAGGATTGGAGCTCCAGAGCAGAGAAGGGCCTTAGGTCATGTCGCCCAACGCCTTCGCTTTATAGGAGGAAACTGAGGCCCAGAGACGTCAAGGAATTCGTCCAAGATCTCACAGCTCGTAAATAGCGTAGTCAGGCGTCCCTGCTTCTAGGTCTGTGCTTGGTACCCTGTGCCGCGCCCCTCCCAGCCCCGCCCAGCGAGGGAGGGGGACCCTAGAGTCCGGCTACCCGCGCCCTGAACTTCGCTCCAAAACAGCTGAAGACGACAACGTTGGGGCACACCCTCTCATTGGCAACCTTTTTTTTTTTTTTTTTAAATTCCTAACAGTCGAGTTTGCTTGTAAACGCCCAATTACTCTTATTAGATGCGTCCTAGTTGCCCGCGTAGAGGGCGGCCGGAATGTCTTGACTGGTTAATTTTATCTTCAAGGCTATTCCTAACGAATTAACTGTACGACGAAAAAATGAAAAACAAAAAACAAAAAGGGAAGCAGCACGCAGCCCGCCACGGAGGGAAAAATAGGCAGGCCAGCCCCGCCCGGCGGCGCCGCGCCCAGCAATGACCGGGCCGCAGGGCGGCGCGGGCACCCTGCGCGCCCGGGGCGCCCGCTGCGCTCGGCGGCGCCGCGGAGGGCGCCTACGACCGCGCGCGGCCGCCACCTCCCTGCAAGCGGCTCTGCGCGCCAGGCTCCCGGCTTCCCGGTGGTGCCGCACCGAGCCGCCCATCTCGCCGTCAGGGCTGATTATTTTCTAAAACCTAGAGTCGAGACCCGCGCGGCCGCTCTCGGGGCCCCGCCCCGCGCCCCTTCCGAGGGTGGGGGAGAGGCCGCAGCGAACTCGGGAGCGGGCGAGGGAATCCCTCTCCCTCCACGTCACCCGAAAGCGAGGAAACCCGCACTCGCGTCCTCTAACGCAAATGACCATCTTTGGCAACGTGCGCCAATGGAACAGACCAAGGGCGCTGGGCCCGGAGGGTAGGCAGGGGGCGCTGGAGGGTCGGGGCTGCCTCTGCGCCCCCGAACCGTGCGGGCCGCCAGCTCCAGCCCGGGCCACCGCCTGGCTTCCTCGCGCGTAGCGCGCGGCTGGCGTCAGCGCGGCCGGGAGCCGGAGCCTGGAGGGGAGCGCTGCGCTGGCCTCCTCCCCTCCCGCGCCTCTTCCTCCTCTCGGCCTCCTCCCCCCGCCTCCTCGTGCGCTCCTCCCTCAAGGTGGAGTCTGGGGTTGACGTGAGTGAATCCACATGGTACAGGGCTGGAGAATAAAGAGTGTGGAGTTGAACTCGTGCCATTGTAGTGACTCATCTCGGGCAGAGCTCTAGGGCTCGGAGCTAACCAGCGAGCGAGCGAACGAGCGGCGCTCGGCGGGGACCGAAAGAGGGAGAGAGAGGCGCGGCCCGGCGAGGCGGGCCGGTCCGGGAGCGGGCGCCAGGGAAGGGGTGCAGGTCCGGGCGCCGGAGCGGGGAGTGGGGCCGCGTCCCTCTCAGCGCCAACTCAGCTTCAACCCCACGGGCCGCTGTTCCCCTGGCGCACTCGGGGCCGCGGGACAGGCGCGCGCGGCTTTCTCCTAGTCAAGTGTCCGAGCAGCCCCGAAACTCCGGCGGCGAGTTGGCCACGGGAAGTTTATTCGCCGGCTCCTTTTCTAAAAGGAAGAAACAAGTTTCTCCCAGCGGACAGCGTTTCTTTCCGCCTTTTTGACCCTGTCTGAAATCGGGGCGGAGGGGGGGTCCCTGGGGCTGGCAGGCCAGGCTCGCCGGGCTCCCAGTCTTTTTTAATTTCCAATTTTTGATTGGGCCGTGGGTCCCGGCTGAGCTCCGGCTGCTCGCGGGGGCGTGAGGGCGCGCGCAGGGGAGGGACCGAGAGACGCGCCGACTTTTTAGAGGGAGGGACCGGGTGGACAACTGTTCCCGCGGCGCTCGCAGAGCCGGAAAGAAGTGCCGTAAGAGGCGCTCGGGGGACGCAGTTCTCGGGGTGTCGCCGCCTCCCTGTCCTCGTCCGCCGCGGAGGGGGAGAAACCCAGGAGCGAAGCTCAGAGCCCGCGGCGCGGCAGGCGGACGACAGAGCGCGCAGCAGTTGGTGCGCGGCCGCGGCGAGGGCGGGGGAAGAAAAACACCCTGTTTCCTCTCCGGCCCCCACCGCGGATCATGTACCAGGATTATCCCGGGAACTTTGACACCTCGTCCCGGGGCAGCAGCGGCTCTCCTGCGCACGCCGAGTCCTACCCCAGCGGCGGCGGCGGCCAGCAGGTAGGTGCGGGCCCCGGTGCACCTGGCGGCGCGGGCGGACCCCTGCCCTCCTCTCGCAGCCACTGCCCTCTTTTGCTTTCTTTTCCTTTTCTTAGCGAGAAAATACCTACCAGCCACCGTTGTTAAGTTCTGGATTTTCGTCCTGCCCTTCCCCCCTGCCCTTTTAAACTAGGGGACTGGTGAGTGGGCTTGAAGAGACAACACCCTCCCCCCCATTACATTTTACCCAGACAAACTCCTGGAATTGTAGACCCCCTACCAGGAGCCTGTTACCTCCCTCCAAGAACTACCCTCTCTCCCCACTCCTCCACCCCCCGCGCCTTCTTTCTGGGTGGTGGACAGACAAGAAAATCTTTGCACCCACTGGCACCTCTGGACATCCTGGGACTGTATTCCTTCTGGAAAGTTCTCTTCCTCTCCTCCCCGGTCTCCATCAGTCTTAGCTCCTTTCTGAAAGGGGTTGGGGACCCAGAAACATGGTTGGACTCCTTCAAGTAACGAGTGAGGGCGAGGGCTGCCGCTCTGGGAATCAGGTGCGAAGGTCAGGAAGGAAAAAGCCAGCCTTGATTGGCTCCTGCCGCCTGTGTGCCCGTGCCTGCCCGTCTTCTGTAAGGGTCAGGGGCAGGAGCCTGCACTGCCCCTCTCCCCCAGGAACGAAGGAGCACCTTGAGGGTCTGGGGGTACCTGGAGCAAGGAGGCCGGCAGAGAGAAGAGGGGGTCAGGTGGGGGAAGAGACATCACGCAGGCTCCTGGGTGGTTCTGGAAGCAGAAAACAACTTGTTTCTAAAGCAGCCGGACTGGTTTGCACTGGAGGGATTGTGCGTGTGATCTGTGTGTTTATAAATACCAGGAAGGTGCTGCTGGGGGTGGAGGGGGGTGCTGATGGCGTTCCTGCCCTCTGCTGCAGCTCCTCCACCCGCTCTGTCTCGAGAGAGCTGGGTTAATGCAGACTCAATACGACGTGAAGCCCACCATTGTCAGCATCTGTGGAGTCTAGCAAAGTTGGCTGCAGCAAGAGATGCTCCCTAACGCGGTGGCCTTGGCCTCTAGAAGGGGCTGGGTGGGCTTCCAGGGAGGGGTGGACTCAGCTGGAAAATATTATGGAACATGGGTCTCTTTTGGATCTGATGAGGGATCCCTTGTTCCAGAATGATTCCCTGTATCTGGTGAGTCCCCAAAATGGCTTTTCTCTATTCCCTCTGCCTCCCCTGGTGCTCCTGTAAGCACGCACAGTAGACAGCCTAGTCTGTTCATTGAGCACCAAGGTGATGAGTTTAAAATCCGAAAGTTGTTGATTATGTTTGCTTCCCAGCCCTGTTGGTGGTTTGTATTCAATGAAAACATTATGAAGCAGGCAATAGGTGGAAGTCTATACCCATTCCCTCCCTCTCCCAGTACACAAACCCCAAAGGCCTGTCTCCTCCTCTCTGAAATCAGGAAGGGATCTTTTGATTTCTTCTCTGTTCTTTTCCCTAATGTGCCTTCGGCAGTGATCATTGGAGTATTGCAATCTTACTGCCTGGCTTAGCATAGACCCTGGGGCCTGGAGGGAAGTCAGACCGGACATTGGTGCCCTAACTGTGTAATCTGTGTCACTAGGGCTTTGAGCCCAGGAACTGAGTGGAGGCAATTCCCTGTTTTGGAAGAAAATCAGACAGGAAACCAGAGCGAGGAAGAAGGAAGAGAACTCAGTCCAGCAGAGTGTAGTAGGGCCTCATTACCGAAGCAAAAAGCAGCTGTTGGTTAATTCCTAGCATGCTGTAACACATGAGGATTTTGCAATTAGCAATAACCAGTACATGGGGCTCTCGCACAGACGCCTGCCCATTCGACCCGGCAGTGTGTGAAGCGCCTTTCAAACCAGAGGGATTGGCAAGGTAATGCTGATTTAGACAAGTTTCTTGGCCTGTCCGCTCCTTGGTCTGGTGGTGGTTGGGTGGGGGACGAGGAGGAACGGGGTGGATTTTTCCGTCATCGCTCCAACTGTGAACAAAATTGTTCTGTGGTCCTGAGGACTGACCTCAGAGGCTTTTGTCACAAGTCTGTGCTATGACCTTGCCCAATCTTGGGCTCAAGGTAACTTTACTACATACCAGATAAAACATGTAATCACTTTATTTCTCTCAGCTTCCTTCACTGGGAGGCTTTCTCTTTTATGGCGTCGCAGTGCACCCATCCATATGAGACAGTTCTCTGGTTTTTCTTTGGGCAAGTGAATTTTGTTTTTTCAGGTCTCTCTTTTGGGGGTCCGATAGTCCTCATCAGTTTGCTGCCAGTTCTTCAACCTAGAGCTTTCCCTTCCCCTCTAGCTCCATGAAGCTGTATCTTAACACATGGCCATGAGCTCCAGTGACTTTGGGGGTGTGGGGGGGAGCAGACGACTCTTTGTTATAACTTCTGTTCTTATATATGGCAGGAACTTGAGGCATGAAAAATATTTCCTGTTCCAGTTATAGTTTTAATCTCAAACGTTGGTCATTGGTGATTTTGTGGTGTCAGTAATCGTTGCACACACCTCCCCCCTTGGATTTTTCTTTTTGCTGTTGTTTTCTCTCTCCTAACTCTCCTAGGAAAACATCTCCCAGATATATGCCCTGCCTGGCAGCTTGACTATTACGGTTTCAGGGCCTGAGCATTACGCAATCCAGCCAGTTACACAAACATAGGTCATTTCATAACTTGTTTTCATCAGCTGGGCCCCCTTTTAATCAAAAAACAAAACAAAAACAAGACCTAGAACTTTTCCAGGGTTGCTATTTGTTTCTCAGATAACTTATGAAAATAAATCAAGGGGAGTATTTCCTTTTTGGAATTAAGGATACCAGACTAGCACTCTTCTTCCTCAACCACCCCTTCCCAAGACAGACAGACAGACACACAGACACACACACACACACACACACACACACACACACACACAAAATTCCCCAGAGTGAACTTTTGCCAACTGTACCAGACTGGGACATTCCTCACATCAAAGAACTTTTACCAGAAATGACTGTGATTCCCAAGTCAGCCTCAATCGTGCCTCTCTAGTGCCCTCTATGGGAAATTTTTAGGAAAATTATCTTGGGAATGTATTTTTCCAGTCCCAGAGAGTGTTAAATTGGTGAGTTTGGAATTCTTAGGATGCCTTTTTTTAGTGAGGCACAAACAACTGCCACATATTGAACCGTGGTAACTGGGAACTCCTGGACTTTGAGTTCTTTTTTTGTTTTGTTCTAATAAAACCTGTTTGAAAAAGGACTGCTTTTTTCTTTTCCTATTTTGATGTCTGTCTGTTCATTAGGGTGTCTTTACAATTTGTTCTAATTCCCAAGGCTTGTTTTCTTACGTGCTTGTATTAGGAGGGGGTTTGTTCACTTGGTGGGAACGTGGCAGGCACAGATTAAGGGTCTGAGTGCTTTTTTTTTCCCTTGATCTTACAGATGTTATAGATTAGGATCAAACAGAATGTTATCCCAAGAATTTGTCTGTTCCGCTGATTCTTGATGGTGGAAGTCAGCTTCACTTTTTCATCAAAGGGAATGGGGTGAAATAGCAGTCATGCATTGTCTGAGTGGCATTTGAATTTTCCTATCCAAAACCTTGAGTGCATTTCCACTACCTTTTTCTGCCTGTCTTATTATTCAAGGTGAGGGTAAAATTGGGAGACTTGTTTTTCTTTTCATTCTTAATACAAACACAGCAGAACTTATTCATCCAGATCACTGTCATCCCCTTCCTTGTTTTTTCCTTGCGGAGACTAAATGCTTATCCGAATGCTGTGGCTGTGCCCAGACTCAGAAAGCTTTTGCAGTACCCTCTCTTTTGCAATTGCTTTCAGCATATTCTTTTGAAAATCCTCCTACTAACAAATCTTTGTCTTTTGAAGGGTGAATTTCACATTTGGAAATTACGAAAACTCTCTTTGGAATCAAGTGTGACACACAAAGTCTGGGTAATCAGGCTGGGTCCAAAGTAGGTTGTGACCCCACATCCTGCAGACCTCAGGAGTCTACCTGAGAGAGCATGCCCATGACAAAGGACACCAAAGCAGGCACCTTTGCCATCAATAACTTGGATTTTTTTTTTTCATGTTTGTTAACTAGGAATAAAGATACTGGCTGTGAGAATTAAGGAGACAAATGTTCTGGTCTATTCGTTTAAACAAAGAAAAAAATAGCATCATTATTTTGTGGATATGTCTCATCTGTGTTGTATGTGGCCACAGTATTTCAAAATGACAGCAGCTGCCCTGATTGAGGCAAATATATCTGTTCCAAACCCCATCTGGTCATTCTATTCCTTCTCCGCTCCCTGGGCCAAAGAGGGAAGGTGTAAGATTTCGCCTGGCTCGCCTGGTCCCTCGGCCCTGTCTCTGTCCCTGTCCCTGTCCCGTGGCATTGAGACTTTCCTAGACTCACCTTCCTGTGTCTCTAAGGGAAGATGAGAGGACATGTTCTTTCCATGGAGTACAGTGCTGCTGAGGACCTGTGGGGGCTACAAAAGGGTCCTGCAGAATTCGCTGGAGTGAATTCCCAGTGCTTTGGAGAGGGGCTTCTGGTCAGAAGAGCCCTGGCAGGGAAGCAGCTGGGAACCTGGGCAAGGGCTGCCTTCTCTTTCTGTTTCTTTTCTTTCTTGCTTCTCTTCCCCGCAGCAGGCAGCCAGGTATAGAGTAACTCTTTCAAGTGAACCCAGGAAAGCCTGGAGGCTGAAGAGAGGCGAGTCATCTGAGAGAGCATTTGTATACTATAACACTCTGGGAAATCATGACATATTAGTAACAGTTTCCATAGTGACATAGTGGCATTTCTTCAGAGAGGAATGAAAGGTCAGAGGTCAAAGTGATGTTCAACGAAGAACCTGTGAAGACTGGTTAAATTCCCTATGGAAGGCTTCGAGGAACAGCCCAGGTTCAGTAAAAATACAGAGCATTTGTGTTAAATGGGGCCCCGGTGGTGATGTGATGGGAAATATGAGAGCATGTGCCCTTATCCTTTGCTCTCTTCTGGAGCCAATCTTCTGGGATGTTGGAATTTTCCCTTTTCCATCTTGGGAATCTAAAGAGAGCATTCTTTAAGTGAGAGAACCCAGTCCTTTCCTAGATACACTCAATCATACCTGCTTGCCTGGTGAGGCAGGTCCCAGAGTCCACAGGACTTCACGGCTTGAATACTTGATAACCCAGACAAGAATCCATCTGATGGAGAATTGCCTGGCTATGAGGCCGGGCCAAGAACCCCAACCCTGACTCCCATCTCACACACCACTTCTGCCCACTCAGGAGTCTCTGGGCTAAGCCCTTGGCCCCGTCCAGGCCTGGAGGGGCCGAAACCCTAGTTCCAGTACCTGCAAGCCATGGATTCGGGGCTGAAGCCAAGGCTCCGCCCTAGAGTCTCATGAGGCAGTTTTCCCAAATCAGCAACAATTGGGCTGGGGCACTTCTCAGACCTGCTGAAGTTTGGTGGCCCTAGAGGGTCCGTGTTCTCAGCCGTCTTTCTCATTGGTAGTGGAAGGAGCACATACGTACTTTCTAAGCAGCCCCATGGCACCCTCAGAACAGGGTGCAGCAGGGTGTTGGGGGTTTCCACACCTGAAGACCACAAGGCTTGTAAGGGCTTGAACTTTGGCTTAGGGTCTAGAGATTCGAGCTAATGAGTGAGAGCCCATCTCCTCGGTTACCTGGGTTAGAGGAATATGTCAGTTCTGATTTTTTGCTTGCTTATTTCCTATCTGTATTCTTTTCCCTCCAACCTGAGCATGGGAGATGAGAATGAACCTCTTGGACAAGAGTTGGCAAACGATGGCCTGAGTATTTTTCTAAATAAAATTC